CACTTAGACCTGGTTCAAAGGGTCCCTCCCGATTTCGCTTGAGTGATTGCAGTATTTGATGACGTTCCCACTCCTTCTGCGTCATATGTGCTGGCTTTTGTACTTCTTTCCCATCCGGCACGTGTAGTTGTTTATTGAACGGGTCATCCTCCTGGGTCAAAAATCCACCCTTCGTATCGGTCATCTTGCTAAAATCATAGTCGACATAGCTTGTAAAGTTTCGGGCTGGCTTGATCGAGTCCAGTGGGCGATTGGAAGAAGATGCATCGCGCATATTAGCAGGCTGACTGGATGCCGCCATCGAAGTGAACGAGCGCTTGGCACCTGTTGCGGGTTGGGAGGTATTCGCAGCGGCTTGGGATAGTTCGGCTTCACGTTTCTCCCGGAGAGCTTTGGCTTTCATTCGATTAACTTCCTATTAGCAACAATGGTTAGTTTGGGCTGACCATGTCGCAAACTTCGAGGGAACTTACTATCCTCCGTTGTTGTTCCGGAGTGATAGGAGCGCGGAGAAGTTGTCCTGCCTCTGAGCCCTTGGGCTGAGGAGGTGGGGTCGAGGGCCGTTCTGCTGTCATTTTGGAATTATTCTCTCAACAGTAGCCGTGTTGGTTGTCGCCTGAGTGAGATAGCAAGGCGGAAGGCGGAAGGCGAGACTCCCCGATCTGCCAATCACGTGATATGGTTCTAACGCGACGTCATTGGCGCATCCCAGTAAACAGCAACACTCAAATCAATATTTTGGAGTTATCGGCTTGAATTGGCAAAGAAATCGATTAAACCGAGAAGCTATGAGTCTCCAGCCGGATAATCGAAGTCTTCCTCTCGATCTTGGCCATACAAAACCTCACACACTCCCCCTACCGGTACATCCATAACGGCGTCGGTTCCCTCACTCCAAATTTCTCGCCAATTGACTTTGCGATTTTGGGGTCCCATGATCTGATAGGAGGTAGCACCGGGCTTCATCTTGGTAGCACCACCGGGACGTCTCCGTGCCTTTCCATCAATCACCGATACATTTGCGACTTCATCAACAATGTTCTCGATGCTGTGCATGGGCAAAGTAAGGTAGCCTGTATTATATGTGGCGAGCGCAGCATAAATGTAGATAAGAAACATCACCAACCACGCGGGGATTGCCAGCGACCACCAACGGTTGGGATAATAGTAGATGCCTAGCTGATGGAGGAATGGCGACGGGAGATAAGACCATAGGAGGTAAAACACTGAGTTGGTCCGGTCAGTATGCGAGTGAATACGAAAGACTGCACCGGCAATTTCCCATGAGACTTACGAAAAGCCAATGACGAAGCCAGGTATAACACGAAGCCATAGTATTCATAGGTAGGGACCTTCGGACTGGCGCGCGGAACGGTGGTTGCGCGACGGGCTGACTTGGCGACTGCCGCCTCGGTATCGTTGGGAGTCTCTACATCGGAGCTGTCTGGAGTAGTTGGACGTGATGTAGTGGTCGAGAAGGGCGGCCGAAGAAGAGAAGTGAGTGAGGGAGAGGGCGGTAGAGGGGTGGGTGGACGATTGTAGAACGGAGGCGCAAATGCATTGGGGCCATGGAGAGAGCCGGAGGATTGGCGAAATGGATGATTTCGGTTAATATTAGAAGAATCATCGGAGTCTGTGTCGGAGAATGATTGGTGCTCTAACGAGTAGTGCGACTGGAAATCCGCATCGTCCTCCACCTCGATCTCCTCATAGCCGGGGGAGGTGATACTCTCGTCTTCATAGCTCTCTTGCGGTTCGTCCGGGGATATGGGGTCTTCGGCCAGAAGAGGTGGGAAGGGCTGCTTGGCCTCGAAGGAATTGAACGTCCTTGCCGAGTTCTCCATTTTGCGAACTGACAAAGAGTTGATGTTGTTGGTATCTCCCCTTTTTCTGCAACTATCACCAGATTCACCGCTCTCCATCTCTACACCTTGGACTTGAACTTTTGAGATTCATATTTGAGATTCGATTCGTTCCTTATATCTATGCCTGCCTCTTTCAAATGACAAGTATGAGAATGAATTAAGTGATTTATCTTGAATAGAATTGGATTTTTTGAGACGATATATGTTGTAGTTCTCCAGTTGACACAGATCGACATCCCATCGGGATACCTGTTCCAATTTAATCGTACATGGACGAAGGTCCAAGCAAGATCATAGCAAGATATCATAACAAGATATCTTTAGATATCCAACTATGTTCCTCAGTGTCCATCTCGGATTGACTCCGTGTGCGGGACACTCCGCTCTCGGCCCCTCCGACTCCTTCGAAAATCCCCAATTCTCCTATATTTTTCCTTGTTCTTTTGGCTATATCCTCATTCTCCCAGCTTTATTTCCCTAAAGTGATTACTCACTATGAATTCCACCGAATTGGAGCATGTCCGGGGGGTTTGGGAACGAACCAAGGATGAAAGCCCTATCTATCGCCTACTTCTCTCCGATGTCGATATTATTAGTGCAACCCGTGGCCAGATGCAAGCCCGACTTAAGCTCACAGCGGAACATGTGAATTCACGGGGCACCATTCATGGGGCGGTCTCTGCAACCATCATCGATTGGGCGGGGGGCATGTCGATAGCCACACATGGACATGAGAGAACAGGCGCAAGCATTGATATCCACGTTTCGTATCTCTCAACTGCCACTATCGGAGATACCCTGGATATCTCTGCCGTTGCTGATCGGGTGGGAAAGTCAATGGCCTTCACAACCGTCAAAATTTCCCGAGTCGTCGACAATGAAGTGGGCCCCTTGGTTTCAAAGGGTTCACACACCAAGTTCCTGCCTGTCTCCAAGGAGAATCGTGAAGCTAAGAGCTGAATCCTTATTTCAAGGATGTTGTACATAGACATAAACATTGTTCCGATTCTTCAACAGCTTGGCCCAAAGCTACCCGTTCTACCCAGGAACCTTCTATCTCTAATCATGTCCTCCCCGTCGAAGATGTTATCCCACCATCCACGATGAGTTCCTGACCAGTTATATACTGTGCCTCGTCACTAACTAGGAAAAGCGTAGCATTGGCAACATCCCACGCGTTGCCCATTTTCCCCATTGGAACTTGCGCATGACGCATCTCCATGTATCTTTCCGCTTGACCATCCGCCGCATATTTGGATACCATACACTTTGTGTACGGGGTGTCCATGAGCCCAGGAACAACCGTGTTCAAACGTACACCCTTGGGTGCATAGATGACAGCCGTTGTCTTCATCAACTGAATGATGGCAGCTTTCGTCGCAGCGTATCCAACCTGGGGCTTTCCAATGTACCTCAAGCCGGCGATGCTGGCAACGCTCACCACTGCACCACTGCCTTGCTGCTCCATTATTGGTAGAACATGTTGGCACATCAAAAACACACTCTTGAGATTGAGGTCCACCTGGGAATCCCAAACTTCCTCCAGCATGGTAGCGGGACACCCCGGCTCTGACCCCCCAACGTTGTTTATCAGAATGTCAACCCGTCCGTATTTAGCCATACAAGCTTCCACGAGGGTCTTTGTTGATGTGGCTGATGTCACGTCTGTTTCCACGACGTCGCAAGTTCCACCCTCGGCCTCAATAGCTTGTTTGGTGGAAACGGTCGAAGCAAGCGTACGATTTCCACCGAATATTTTCGCACCTTGTCGAGCTAGGAGAACAGCGATGGCGGCACCGATGCCCCAGCCTTCGGATTGGCTTTGGCCAAGGCCAGTGATGAGGGCAACTTTCCCGTGGAGAGACAACATGACGACAAATGTATAATCAGAGTGGAAGATAAAGAAGGTATGTATTAGAAAGTGACAATATAGACGTAAAAATCCATTTATAAGAAATCGGTCAGATATCGAAACCATCAATACGGCATAGTCCCGACGGGTTTCCCGTTCAGCGGCACACTCCCGATATACAAAGCGCATATCCATATGATATCTCTGATATATGCGCTGACTTTTCTTTGCCGAGGGTTGATTACGATTTCCCTTTCACGGTTATCTAGAACGAGGTTCTCAAGTACATGTATGTTTTGACAGGTTGCAACCAAAAATGTAGTGCAACCCTTCCAACATCAAGTAAGGGTCCTTGCAAAAGAGAGAAGAGAGACACATGCCAAGGCCTCAGGTTTAGGTTTCCATACGATCTACTCGTATGTTGTGCTCCCCACAGTCTGCAGTGTACATGCGTGGACATGGTACGACCTATGCCTCTCGACTCTAAGGCTGCCTACCGTTTACTCTGTACGGCATAAGTAAAACATATTTATATCTACCACTTTAGAGGATAAGACAGATCATATATTCTCCACGTGAGAACGGCAGTGCATATACCGGTTTTTCTGCATATATCTTGACAGGGCTCTCAACATTCCCCATGTGTTGTAACCCCAAAGCTTTCCAGATCCCCCTTGCATTCAGCCTTGAGACAGGGCAAAAAGAGCCGAGCTAAGAAGTTGTACAATGATCTAATAAGTTCACCATAAACCTTGAAAGCACACAGTTTCGTATTCCTGCATTGAACGCATGAACTTCGAATCTTCAAAGTTCTCAGGGGTTGACTAGCGAGGATCGGCCTGGGAATTTTATGGAGACCCGCACGGAGAGAGTTGTTAGATGTGGATTTTCTGGATTTGCTGGATTTTCAGGGATTTTCTCCTTTTTGATCTTTTTCTTTTTTCAAAAGGTATATTTGTACTTTATATGGAGTACATACACAGGTTCTACACTACATTTCCTCTAATATAGTAGAGTTACTAGAGTACTACATTCGTACATATCGCCAAGGTAGACCCACAAACTATCGGATCGACGAGACGCTTGGGATTAATTTAATTCATCTGGCCTATCAGCTCTTGCATTCACCAACTTGTCAATCTTCCTTGTGAGTGACAGGTCGGAAACGGGGGTGAAGAGTACTTTTTTTTTTTCTTTGCTTCTTTTCTTACGGGACCTGTATAGTCCCCTCTTTCCTGTCATAGTGTATATCTCTTTGCTTTTCAAACTTGGAGATACTCACCATGGATAGTATAACGGTAAAAAAAAAAACTCCCCATCCCATAGAGAGAAATCCTGGCTAATGGAATTCAGAATAACGACTCAAATATTGGCTCGTCGCGAGGCGACGCGTCAACCACCTCCGGTGATATTGCTAGCAGTCTCACCGGCGGAGGGGGCTCATCAGGCTCGGCATTGATGATGACTTTATTGCCTGCACTCGCATACGCTTTGTTTTGGGTCAGCCTGTTTCTGATATTTCGGCGAACTCAACGCCGATGGTACGCTCCGAGATCCTACTTGCCCGATATACATGAGCATCAACGGAGTCCCGAGTTGCCTTCTGGTTGGGTGAACTGGCTCGGGACATTTTTAAAAATCGAAGACAATCATGTGCTTCACCACTCATCGCTAGACGGGTATCTGTTCCTGCGATTTTTGCGCGTCCTGGCTGCAACATGTCTGACAGGCTGCGTGATTACATGGCCCATTCTGTTGCCACTTCATGCCACCGGGGGCAACGGCAATACTGAGCTCGATATCTTGAGTTTCAGTAACGTCAAGAACCCCAACAGATACTATGCCAATGTTATAGTGGCATGTGTTTACTTCTGTAAGTCCTCGGTATCCACTCGCCAAAAACATTTGAAAAAAAAAAACAGCCTACTGACGAGTATAGCGTTCGTGTTTTATGTCGTAGTCAGAGAAAGCCTGTACTATGCAAATCTCCGCCAGGCCTACCTCAATTCGCCTGCCTACGCATCTCGAATGTCGTCCCGTACAGTCCTCTTCATGTCAGTTCCGGATGCGTACAAGAATGAGGACAAACTACGACAAGTATTTGGGGACTCGATCCGCCGAACTTGGATTACCTCCGACTGCTCAAAGTTGGAAAAGATGGTTAGAGAACGAGATCAATTAGCCGAGAAGCTGGAGACCGCAGAGACCAAGCTCATTCGACGAGCAAATAAAATTCGCACCCAAGCAATCAAAACAGGCGAATTGAATACTGATGTGTGCTTGGACTGCGAGTCAAGCAACCCGGCATGGTCTCACAAGGTCCAACGTCCCATGCATCGACTGAAACTTTTTGGCGAAAAGGTCGACTCTATCCACTGGTATCGGGCTCAGCTCGCAAAGAAAATCGAAGAAGTATCAAATATGCAATCCAAACACCAAAAGGGTCAAGCAAAAATGCTTAGTGCAATCTTTGTCGAATTCAACAGCCAGGCTGATGCACAAGTCGCCCTACAAACCCTGTCGCATCACCAGCCGTTCCATATGACGCCTCGATTCATTGGAGTTTCCCCTTCCGAGGTGGTATGGTCGGCACTGAATCTAAGCTGGTGGCAAAGAATTGTCAGGAGATTCGCAGTCCAGGGATTCCTGGCGGCGATGGTCATCTTTTGGTCGTTTCCTGCGGCAATAGTTGGTGCAATTTCGAATATCACGTACATTTGCACGCTGATACCCTTCCTCAAATTCATTCTTGACTTGCCCGATTTCATGAAAGGAGCGATTGAGGGCCTTCTGCCTGCTGCGGCCCTAGCGGCGTTGATGTCGCTAGTACCGATCATATGTCGCAGTACGCTCCCCAAATTCGTCTTGTTCCTCGAACCCCTGCTGACTTTGACATAGTATGTGCTAGGCGAGCTGGAGTCCCATCAAAGGCACGGGTTGAGCTGTTCACACAAAGCGCCCACTTTGTCTTCCAAGTGGTCCAAGTGTTCTTGGTCACGACCTTGACATCGGCTGCATCGGCTGCTACTGCACAAATCGTCAAGGATCCTCTCTCGGTCAAAGATCTGCTGGCGCAGAACTTACCCAAGGCGACTAATTTCTACATTTCTTACTTCATGCTGCAGGGACTGAGTATGAGTTCCATGGCCCTTGTTCAAATTGTCAGTGCCTTGGTGTTTAAGTTTGTGACCACATTTTTTGCCTATTCCCCTCGTCGTCTGTTTCAAGGATGGGCCGAACTGGCCAGTCTCAGCTGGGGCAATGTCTTCCCCATCTTCACCAACATGGCTGTAATTGGTAAGCGATGCCCTACTCATGCTCCAACGAGGATCAACTGACTCGATTCTTTAGCGTTGACCTATTCATGCATCGCACCTCTGATTCTGGGATTTGCCTTCCTCGGACTTTATCTTGTGTACCAAGCCTACCGATACAACTTCCTCTTCGTATATGACATCAATATTGATACAAAGGGACTAGTCTACCCACGAGCCCTGCAACATTTGTTAACGGGTCTCTACCTGGCTGAAATTTGCTTGATAGGACTTTGCGCCATCAAGGGTGCTATCGGCCCAGTCATCATCATGGTTCTATTCATGATTGGCAACATTTTGGCGCACATGTCGCTCAACGACGCACTCACCCCACTGAATACTTTCTTACCACGATCCCTTGACGCCGAGGAGGAAATGCTTCAAGAAAAAGAAGATGCAGTGGCAGCGATCAACGAAGAGCGCCGCCCACGCGCAATGGCCTTCTGGAGATGGTTCCACCCGAACGTATACAAAGATTACGCGGCATTGCGTCAAAAGGTTCGCCGGAATCTTGAGGAGGTTTCGTACACACCCGAAGAGATGCGTACAGCATATTTCGAACCATGTGTAGCATCGCCACCACCGAATTTGTGGATCCCACGCGATAAGTGGGGGTTCAGTAACCATGAGGTTTTGGAGACTGATTCCATCATCAGCATCACGGATGAGGGTGCGCACTTGAATGAGAGGAATAAGATTGTGTGGGATAAATATGACCCTCATCTTCCTTTACGGGAATTAAAGACCCTGTATTGATCTTGGCTATCTGCCATGGAATTTAACGACTTGATGACAGCGATGGGTTGGTTTTTTTCTTCTTTCTTTTTGTACATAAATGTGATATTGATGGGAAACATGATATTCGATACCGAGGCTGCTAAGCAAATCCCAATCAAGAGCGCTTAAAGATTTATAATATAGTCAAACCATCTCAGTATAACCACCACGGTCATTGAGATAAAAATCCCATCAGACAGTCAAGGTGAAGTTGACAGCATTCACAACACCATTATCCCGCGGGAAGAACTCGAAGGTGAACACGGCCGATTGGCCAGCGGAGATGACAGAGTCAATAGCAGATGAAGTAAGGATTACATGGGACGCGTCCCAGTTATACTGGCCGGCGTAGGTCTAGATTGATATATTAGTATTTGGCAAATGATAAAGGAGGAATGGGGCCCCAGCTTACAGCTCTCGCTTGCTGGATAGGACCCAGGTAATGTGTCCAGTCATCGACCAGGTATGTTCCACTCTTGGCCAAAGCCTTTACGGCAGCGATAGTTGGCAAACCACCCCAGGTGATTGGAATTAAAAGGTCAGAGCCAGAGACAGATGAGGCCACTGCCGATGTGGATGACAGAGTCGGAGTCTTCCATTGAACAATTTGGATAACAGGGGACGAGTATCCTCCTGAGAACTTCAGGGTTAGAGTGGCAACGACACCTGGTGCTGTGGTGGATGAAAGATGCTTGGATAAGTACGAAGCTGTGAAGATGATATTCGCACCCGAGACAGAATAGTCTGTTCCCGACGCCAATTTCGCACCAGTAGAGTCACTGATTGACGAGAGAGTGTTACCGTTGAAGATGAAAGGAAGGGTCTGTGCTGTCACAGCAGTTCCATATTGATGGAAAATATAAGCCGACGATGACTGGGTGGTTGCAGAACCATCCTCGGTGCTATCTGGCAAACTATTTGCAGTAGACTCGGTGGACTTTGCGATAATCGAGAGAGAGTTCGAGTCACGCCAGACTCCGGTGGTTCGGTCCAAGTGATCCAATCCGTTATCCCACAGCACACAGGAGATGTCGAGACTGGCTGCAGTCTTGATCAAGAAGTCAACGTACTTCCATCGAGCAGCGGGCTCGGTGTTGGTGGGTGAAGCATCGTATTCACCCAGAAGAAGGGGTACATTGGGGAAAGCGTTGCGTATGTTCTGGAAATCGGTCTTTATAGTTGTCTTGTCACTGTCAGAGCCCCAAATGGTCTTTCCCCTGTTTGGAGTCAGTAAATAATGTCAAAATGTTGGGTTTATACTCTTACCAAGCGCTGAAGATGAAGTCGTCTAGAAGCAACTCAGTCAGTTCAACTCAATAATATAAACTCATTTACGACTCACAAGGGCTGTAGTAGTGGAATTGAATAGCATAAGGATTCGAAAATCCAGATGGTGCAACAAACCAGTCTGAAGTCTTGATGCTATCCTGACCACCTCCGACTAGAGTCACGACTCTTTGCGAGTTGAACCCACCGGCATCGTTGATAGCCTGGAGGAAGATCTTGTTCAATTTGTTGATCTCAGTAGCATCGGCGGCAGTATTGCATGGAGGCTCATTGATAGGCTCAAAGGCAACGAGATTGGATTTGCAGGCCAACTTGGTTCCAATTTGATACCAGAGTTTGTAGAATTTCTCTTCAATCATGGTAAGATCGGCTCCGGACTTGCTAACATCAGCCCAAACCCATGAATCTGTTTTGTGTCAGTAAATGTCTTGAATACAAGGTTATCTATATCATACCATGATGCACATCAACGATGGCATAGAGTCCACGAGCAACAATCATATCAACCACGTCGGAGACTCGCTGCAGCCATGCTGGGTCAACGGTCCAATCTGGTGAGCTTCCAGTAAAGTGATAAGCATAGGTAACTGGAAGTCGGACACTCTTAAATCCGGCAGCTTTCACGGTATCAAAGGTCGACGCCACAACCGGTAGATTGTTCCAAGATCCCTCATCGGGAACGGCATCAAGGGTGTTTCCCAGGTTCCAACCGGGATGCAGATTGGACACAAAGTCGGAAGCTGAGATTGCACTAAATGTTCCAGTACAAACAGCCCCTGGCGAGGTAGCAGTAGCTGCCTGCGTTGTTGACTTGGTGGTCGTTGTCAGCGTGGTAGTGGTGGCCTTGGTGGTGGTCACTGCTGATGTTGTAGCACTGCTGGTTGCTGTTCCTGGGAGGCATTGAGAGTACCCTTGGGAGAAGTTAGTATGAAGTCAAGCTCTAATGTAACTGGTATTCACATACACTCATTCTGCGAAGTACAGACGAAGCCTGACACGCAAGTGGTGCTTCCTGTGTATCCACTGCCTCCGCCTAAATGCCAGTTAGTCCAAGGACAAATACTAAGCTAGAGGAACATTCGATCCATACACTGTCCATAGGCTGATACCTCGGCCTGAGCTATCCCGACAAGGGCCAGGAGGGCACCAGAAAGGAGAACCTGCATTGTGAGATCTACTATGGGAGAGAATCTACAGATCCTGATGATTCGTAGAGCTGATCTTGTACAGATTCAGCATGGGAGGGTCAATGATATTTATAGCATTCTTCATACCATGCCCTAATCCTAGTCAATCTGCGGACCGGTGGACCGGGGCTGTTTTCTTCATATCGCATTAGAACGTGCCAAAACGCCCCCCTTGACCTAAATGGCCTGCAGATGAGTGCTTATGCTCGGCATTCATTGCAATTGCATATTTTTTGGTCTTTTTGCCGGGGAAGATTAGTTGTCTCAGAAAAGGCGCAATAACTCCTCCAATGAGAAGCCTTCCCCACAAAATATTGAGTCCTTTAATTTCCCTAACTTTAGGCAAATTAGATATAATCCATTCGGGATTTAAAGAATAGACATTTTTACATTGTCACCTGGTACGTCTTTTATTAACCCTGCACGGAGAAGGTCCGTGTTGGTTATAAACCCGTGGAGAATGAGGAACTACGGAACTTTCAAATATGAAACGTTAAAATTGGACAATATAGGCACATCTGATCATATTCATTCACTTAAAGCAAGTATCATGTTCATCTGCATTGTTCACATCACTATGCATTCTTTGTTCCGATCTGACTCCATTATGTTGTGGTCCCCTGTACGTACAGGGCGGGGTCGGTGAGAATACTGGTTTCGATTGCGCGAATTCCGGTTGCCGGGGTACTGATTTACCGGAGGATTAGCCGGGGCACCGCCGTATGACCTTCTGTCAGGCGGCGAATAGCGCGGCCCACTGGTAGCTTGTTCATAGGGAGGAGGTGGTGCGTTTGGGTCCTCGATGTCGGGCCCATGCGGTCTAGGTTGAGAAATCGCATTGGCAACACTCGAAGATCGAGCAGGTACATTGCTCAAGCGCGGTGAAGGCGATGGTCGATTGGAAGAAGTACTCGGGGCAGACGTGCGACGATCGCGAGCCTGCTCGTTCCTAGCATTTTCGCGTCGCTCTTCTTCTTGGAACTGAAGCGAGAGCGCATATGCATAGTCTGCATCACTCTGTTCTTGAGTCGGCTCGGGGGATTTCGATGCTTCGTTTGCATTTGGAGAATGAGTGGGCTCATTCGATGCTTGCGCGGGACCGGGACCAGATAGGGCCGAAGGACCAGCGCCCACGGGGCGAAAGTCGCCGGAGTAATATTCAGTGTTGAAACCTGTCACATCGACAAGAGATTCCCAAACTACCTCGGCATGGCCCGCATAACCGGCATCGGTAACCAAAGTATAGAGTTGATGGGATTGCGGGTGTTTATACAAAGTCGAGAAATGGTCGTTGCGGAAAAGAATGGAGACAGATCCAGGCGCAAGTTTAGTCGAGAGTTGTGTTAAGCCAAACGGGCTTAGTTGTGTCGGGTTCTCAATTTCCACAAATTGTTGGATGGTTTGGATATCCGCCATGGTATTCTCTTCCGCGGGTTCAAGAGCCTCGCCTCGCGCCACCCGGTCCTCAAACTCTTGTCTGCGAAAAGGCAGCATTTGAATATCCTCATAATACTGGGCAGTGCGTGACATTGCGGTATGAGTAGGACTGGACCAAGGGGCTAACCAGGCATGGATCAACGGTATACCAAACGTGCTGTACAGTCGAAGATCACTGGTCTCCAGGAAAGTGCCAAATCCTTCAGTAGAATCCTAAGACTAGGTTAGTATAGGCGCCTCTAGACGGATCACATGTACTCACCATTATCAAACGTGGGTTGACATTCATGCCTGTATGCAACATTGTCAGGAATTGAGTGAGGGCCTCGATATCCGGAAACTCCTCATCAGGGCCCAGGCATATTGTCAGCTCTTCAAACATCGCCTCGATTAGCAGGCCCAGAGAAATTTGCTCGCGGGTTGACAGAGCTCGAACAATCGGTGGATGAGTGTTGGGGTTCGCTCGCAGCACCAATGCATTTATGAGCGCCAGCAGCGGACAGGGTCCGTTTTGATTTTGGACCAAAACCGGAGACTCCACCAGTTGACCACTTTGATCGGTCCATCGGACGTGTCGAATAGTGTAGGTTTCTGATCTCTGCTCCTTTTGTCGTGCAGCTTCTGCGGCAGATAGGATGGGGGTTGTTTGGGGTTGTTGTGATGGTTGCACTCTGGCTGATGCGAGTTCTTGTTTCTCTGGCAATGATCTTGCTCCGTTCGCGGCTGGTTCTGAGTACAACGAAGACGCAGCATGAGATACAGTCTCGATCCCCGGATTGCCAGTAGCGCCCCAAACACCCAAATCGATTAGTTCACGGGATGTGGCGGAGGTCCCATTAGCGAGAGCAACAGGTGAAGTGTTGATTCCAGCATCTGATCCGAGTCTCCCTGCATTGGATGAAGGGTTATATTGTGCGCGGGCATGGTTGTCCCCATCAGATGGGGAAGGATTTACAGCCGGCGAGACATATGGATTAGACTGTATTCCTTGTAGGTATATCTCTTGGGGGGCCGAGACCTTGATAGACTGTTGAGACCCCCACGGCGAGTTATCATCGAGTTGCTGGCCGCCTAACACGGCACGTTGCTCAGAATGAGAATGAGGACGAGGAGCCTCGGCCCATGGGGATTCTTGTTCGGGTTCATCTAAGAGGGAGAGTCGTGCAGTCATCGGAATATATCCCTCGGCTGTAAGTTGTTAGCAACAAAGATCATTTTGAGCGAACCTTCAGAAGCAAGTAATGTCATACTTAAGCTCAATGAATCACTGTTTGAAGTCGCATGTGAATCACGCCCCCACTCATTGCGATCTAAGAGATCTTGAGTATGCTCTGACGGCCTCGGCTTCAAAAATGGGTTATTTGACTTTAACTGTACCGGTACCTCCCCAGTCGAAGCTTGACTGGCGTTGGGCGTTGACCCCAACACATTCTCAGCCGCCCCTTGCTGTTGGCCTGTTATCAACGTAGGCGGAGCCCAGTGCCCGTTGGTAGTTGCAGATTCTTGGTATGCGCCTTCATACTGATTATACTGACCAGAGCGGCCATCATCGGGCCTTCCGTTGTTGGGCCATGAGCTCGGCGGTTGACTGGTTGGAGACCCCATCGGCGACCGCTGTGCCTCCTCAAGTGGCATCAGGTCAAACGCAGGTGAAGTGTTGAGATCGGGGGAGTAGATAGAGTCCTCAGATGGAAATCGGTTCAAACGAGTCGGGCGGTGGGAGGATGCAGAGTTGGGTGATTTAGGTGAGCGTACGTCCGATCGTGGATTTGACTTGCTGATGTTCTCCAAACGCGGTGGGGGCTGTTTGCGCAGGCCCATGAAGACGTCCGTTGACCTTCTTGGGGAAGCGGAGGGTGAAGGTTTGAGTTCGCGTATAGTTCTAGGGAAAGGCTAATAAAATGACTCAACGTCAATCGAGAGCGGACTCAGAAGAAATTGTGTCTTGGATCTGATAGTTGATTCAGGTTGTAGGCTCAAAATAATAATAAGTCATTAGGTATAGGGAAAACGCCTTGCGCTGGGGGGCTGCAGGGGCTGAGGTGCCCTGCCCGTATACGTAATGGGCAACAGCCTTTAGCTTAAGCTCGGATACACTCAGATCAAGAGAAAGCCATCAACAAAACAATGACGAAGGTGATCCCTCTCAAGAGTCTCAAGGCACCCGGATTCCGCAGATCCACAACCTGGGGGAAGCTCCAACGCCAGTATGTGTATTTACCGTATTCTTCACATGCAAGAGTTTGGCCTTGATCATCCGTAGAGGGGGCGGTCCTAGTACGGTATGGGATGGTATGCTGGAGAGTTATGACGAAATGGCTTGGGGCCAGTAATTTAAGGCATTATATTAAGGCAATAATTACACCTAAGGCAGAACATAAGGCACCAATATCCCGGACTATCTATCTACCCGGCTGTGAGTATCCTCGTCCTCTGATTGGTTGTTATTCTATCAGCCATAAAAGTCTCCAGAACAATTTTGTGGAAGAGCTCGAGGCACAGCTGTTCCATCGCCATCATGCATTCCTATATTCGCGCGGGCCAGTTTGTGGGTATCCGGCTACAGTCTGATCAGTTAAGACTCATCCAGATCATTCCCGATACGTAAGTACTCTCTGCTCTATGCGGGGAAGATTCCACAAGAACTAACATTGGATCAGAGTCGTCAATTTGGGTAGATTTGGTAGCTTTACTGCCAATCAGATTATTGGACGACCATTCTACTTCACCTTTGAAATCCTGGATGCATCCGACGACGCTGGCAACCAACTACGTGTCGTGTCAGCAACCGAGTTGCATGCCGAGACTCTCCTCGCGGACGGAGAGGGAGATGGGGAGGGTGACGACGTGGATACTGGCGAAAATGGAATCCCGATGCGAACAAATCGGCAAATCAATGACGAAAACTCTTCCCAGAAATTGACCTTGGAGGAAATTGAAGAATTGAAGAGAGAGGCCGGTGGCGCGGGGAAGGACATTGTCGCAAAGCTCTTGGAGTCGCACAGCGCAATCGACCAGAAGACTGCATTTTCTCTTGCCAAATACACACTACGGAAACGCAAGAAGTATCTGAAGCGGTTCACCGTTCTCCCACTGGACGTCGGCCTTCTCGCCAATTATTTAATCGAAGAACGCGATGCGCAAAAGTCGATGGAGCTACGGGACGAACACATCGGTCTAATCGGGTGCTGGGGTGATGTACATCACAGCGGAGACGTTGAGGTGGGCGAGGGGATGAAGCCGAATGGACGTTATGCCATCGTCGATGAGACTGGTGGACTTGTTGTCGCTGCGATGGCTGAGCGCATGGGGATTTTATATCCTCATGATGCCGACGAAGACCTAGCAGAGGAGCAAGATGCTCCAGCCCAGAATGCCACAGAATCCCAGCCTCCTAATAATCTCCCAAAACCCCGGCGCATACGTCCTCAGCCAATGTCCGCTACTACCAACACCATCACCGTTTTCCACCCATACTCACAACCGAACCTGTCACTCTTAAAATTTTTTGGCTATGACACCAATAACCCCGATGAATCCCACCCACTCCACACCCGTCTCAAATCGATTTCCTGGATGCAATTGGCTGACCCCAATTCCGATCCGCTCTACGCCAATGAACCACCCGTCATACCTGCAGAGGAATTGGCCGAGCTTAAACAAAGCAAGCGCACTGCGTATTACCACAAGCGCAATCGATGGGGGCGAGTTAAAGCAGTTGTGGATGAGGGCCGGGCCGGTAACTTTGACGGTCTGATCGTGTCCACCTTATTAGAGCCAGCAAGCGTTCTAAAGACAATGGTCCCGCTCCTTGCGGGCTCTGCCCCTGTTGTCGTGTATTCACCGACAGTCGAGTCTCTGGTTGAATTGGCAGATATGTACTCCACTGCTCGGAGGACCGCATTTATCAACAAAAAGCGAGAATTGGAGTCGCAGAGTCCCGAGGGAGAGGCCGTTGATTTGTCCTCACTTCATGAAGAATTTGTGGTTGATCCGACGATTCTCCTTCCACCTACTTTGCAAACGTCGCGCGTGCGCCCTTGGCAAGTTCTGCCCGGTCGAACCCATCCCCTCATGACTGGACGTGGTGGCGCAGAGGGATATCTCTTCCATGGCATTCGCGTGTTCCCAACCGCACAGAATATCCAGGCTGCTGGCAACGTTCGCAAGAGACGGAAGGTGGAAACAACATCTACCCCGATCGGTGATCGAGATGTGGAGATGACCTAGGTTTCATGAATGAACGCCCTAAACGCCCTCAAAATAGATCAAATAGCATTTCAATGTACAAGTACAACTTACTTCTTATTTCATGTGATCCCGCTTTACTTTACCTGCTACCCCTTGTTTGATCATACTGGACATCGAGTTAGGGCTAGTCTGGGGACGAGTTTGACTCCCAAATACGCAATTATCCGCATTCAAGTGTCTCTGGTCGCTACGCAAAGCGATCGTGGTTTTGAATCAAGTATCAAATTCATTCATGCGCTGAATTCCATCAAACAATATACAGCAACGCTCGTCGTCTAGAGACTCTTTCCCATGAACTTTCTCTTAGTGAAACTCAGCCAGAACTAAAATGAATCAGTACTTGAGATAGATCAAGAGCTCGTTCTTTGCTCCACTTACCTTTGATGGCCCGACTCCACCGGGGTATAATCTAGCGTGTAGACGGATGGCGATCTCCTGTCGCACCTGCGAGATAAACCTATAATCACAAAAACCAGTTAACCAAGATCTGAAATATAATAACAACGAGGATCTCACTGGCGAAGCGTCTCAGCATCCTGGCGATCACGCGGGGGCTCAAAGGCCTGGTTAAGCGGGAACGACACATCACCGGGAATAGCAAAGTTGTCGAGGGCGGCGTTGGTCAGGGCCTGGGAATAGGATTGTTAGTGATAGTTCTACATCGCACTTTTGCGCTTCTGATATAGAGTAAAGCCATACCTTCTCCGCCTCCCGGGCAGTCATTGTTGGCTTGACCTTTCCAAGGCAGTCGCTAATAAACAGAGTTCCATAAATGAGCATGCGGTCCGCGGGACCATTGATCTCGAAGTTGCGGAACAAGACATTGGCACGGAAGAGCGATAGGATTTCATCGACACAATCATATGATTCACTTTCTGGGGAGACATCGATATCGTCGATGTTGGGAAGCGGTGGCAATGTGTATGCGGGGCCACGAGTACGGGTTCGAAGAGGAAGAATAGGGAAATTTCCTAAAAGTTCTATGGTCAATTTGATCCTTTCAATGTTCATAGCCCAGGAACTGATTGAAGTGTTCTCTTACCTATCACGGGGACATCGCGGTCCTCCAGGAAGATGGAGTGGTATGCCTGAATTGGTTAATAAGGAACTTCGGAAACACAGGGTAACAAAACATACAGGCATTTTGAAATCAAAGAATTAAATTGTAAGAAGTTCAAAAAGGAGGGGACAAGTTGACCCGGGGAGGTTAGGCAGAGGGATGTCATCTGTGGAGTCCCCAAGCTCCATATGATTTTCCGCCCCGAGCCTCTTTACGCGCTCAACGCGTCAAACACTTTTTTTTTCATTTTACCTCTTGATTCATATTGATTATTTATCTCTACTCAAGAGACATTCACCATGTCAGACTACGAGGACGAAATGGACGTGGATGCGCCCAAGGACGTACAATTCAGCTCCGAGAACGCCAGTGGAAAAAAGAGAACCGTCGCGGATCTGCCAGTCGAAGCTCAAGATAATTTGCCCTGGTGAGTTTGAGAATCGTATTTATTCTGTTATATTACTAACAAACTTGTCAGGGTCGAGAAATACCGACCAAGCAGCCTTGACGATGTCTCTGGCCATCAAGATATTCTCGCGACTATCAACCGGTTCGTGGAGACAAATGTAACCAATATCTATGATGGATGTACGGTGGCCTCTGATTAACATTCTCATACAGCGCCTACCCCATCTCCTCCTCTACGGACCTCCAGGAACCGGAAAGACCTCTACCATCCTGGCCCTGGCGCGGCGGATCTACGGCACGAAAAACATGCGACAGATGGTGTTGGAGTTGAATGCAAGTGATGATCGTGGTATTGACGTTGTTCGAGAACAAATCAAGACCTTTGCAAGTTCGTGTCCTAAGAATCTCGGGTTGAACCACCAGCTTACCGTGACCTACAAGGCACCAAACAGATCTTCAACATGGCCCCCCAAGGCACTGCTGGTTCTCCTCTGGCAGGTTACAAGCTTATCATTTTGGACGAAGCCGATGCGATGACTTCCACCGCCCAAATGGCCCTCCGTCGTATTATGGAGCGCTATACGGCCAATACCCGATTCTGCGTCATTGCCAACTACACACATAAGCTATCCCCGGCACTCCTGTCCCGGTGTACCCGATTCCGGTTTAGTCCATTGAAGGAAGTCGATATTAGGACCCTGGTCGACAAAGTGATTGAGAAGGAGGGTGTCCGGATACAGCCCGATGCGGTCGATAGTCTAGTGACCCTAAGCAAAGGTGATATGCGACGAGCCCTCAACGTGCTTCAGGCATGCTTTGCCAGCAGTAAGTTCATCTCCTTTCTCCCTGGTCTCACATGCCCCCATTGACTTCATGTCATCTTTTAGGTATCCCACTGCCGATGAGAGACGCTCCCAAAGCCCCTCGTCCCGAGCCCGAGATTGTCACCAATGCGACGATTTACGACTGCATTGCCGCCCCACACCCGTCCGATATTCAAGAAATCATGACCACCATCCTCTCCACCAGCGATGTCACTTCCTGTTTGAACACCGTGCAAACCCTCAAGTCCAGTAAGGGTCTAGCTTTGGCCGACATCCTCTCCGCACTAGCAGACCAACTTCAACAGCTTGAAGTCCCCGCTCAAACACGTATCACCTGGCTCGAGGGACTGGCCGAGATTGAATGGCGCCTTGCTGGGGGTGGTTCGGAAGCTATTCAAACGGGAGGACTTGTCGGCGTGGTACGAAATGGATGTGAATTAATGGGTGACAAGGGTGTTACAGTATAAGGATATCCAAACCTCTTAGTTTTTCTATCAGATGTAAGGTAGGCTTGGAGTTTTGGCGAAAAGGAACAGAATATCATTTTGAATTCACTCAATTGTAGAATGTATACTTTACGATCTACACCGTTCTGGTATCCTCCGCTATCGCAGCTCCGTGGTAGACCGCGGAGATGTTTTCAATTAGCTAATCTGTTGACTACCCCGGGGCCTGACTAATAACATGTTATGTATGTTATTTTTGATCTTGACCAATGATTTGGTGAATTTCTTCCACTAGACTACTCTCAGACTACTCTCAGACTGCTTTCACACTAATTTCATAATGACTCTGCACCTTCGGGTCTTACTATGAGGGGAACCTTGGAGGGGAAGAGTCAATGTGTCTTGCCCGCTTAACTAGATAAGGACCTGCACCCTCGGGGAATTTACTACACCTTTTTTTGTTCTTTACATATTTCACTATGCGATACTCTATTCAGGCCCTTCTGCTGGCTGCATCTTTCTCCGTGGTTGATGCCGAGCGTGTGCTGGGTGCGTATATTTTCGCCCGCCATGGAGATCGTACGCCAAAGATTTTTGGTAGCACTCAATTGACCGACCTCGGCTACCAGGAGGTCTTTGATTCGGGATCCTTTTATAATGAGCGATACATCTCGTCCAGCTCTTCTAAGCAGATCGAGGGTATTAGTGCCGATGTTGTCAACCCAAAGCAGATCAGTGCTTATGCTCCCGCGGAGTCCGTCCTGCAGAACTCTGCTACTGGCTTCCTACAGGGTGTATATCCTCCCGCGGGAAAAGTGGCTTCCCAGACCCTAGGCAGTGGAAAATCGGTCGAGGCACCATTGAACGGTTACCAGCTCATTCTGTTGACACCGGCCACTACAAGCAAGAATGCCGAGGATTCCACCTGGTTGCAGGGCTCCAGTGGATGTCAGAAGGCAACTGTGAGCAGCAACAACTACTTCTCCTCTGAAATGTACACCTCGCTGCTGTCCTCAACCAAGGAGTTCTATCAATCGCTTTCACCTATGCTAAAGGGCGCGTTTGCCTCGTCGGATATATCCTTCAAGAACGCCTATACCATCTTCGACTACTTGAACGTCGGCAAAATCCATAACTCTACCAGTCAATTCCCTCACAGGTCCGACCTGACCGACGAGGTTTACCATCAGCTGATTGCTCTAGCTGGAAGCCATGAATTCAACCTGGCGTACAACTCCTCGGATAAAGTGCGCGCCATCGACGGTGCCGTCCTGGCGGGCGAAATCCTGGCCGGACTCAACGAGACCATCGCTACCAAGGGCAAGTCCAAGCTGAGCATCGGATTCGGCTCTTACGGCACCATCTTTGCGCTCTTCGGTCTCTTGCAGATGCCTGCTGCCTCCGTCAACTTCACCGGAATCCCGGACTACGCCTCGTCAATGGTCTTCGAGCTGGTGACGAACGCCAGTGGCACTGACTTCCCAACCGACAAGTCCGACCTCAGCGTGCGCTTCATGTTCCACAATGGTACCATCACGGGCTCATCTGAGCCTACTGCATACCCATTGTTCGGCCAATCGAGCGAGCTTCTCTCCTGGGACGACTTTTCCTCCAAGACCAAAGAGATCGCCGTTAGTTCCGATGAGGAGTGGTGTACCATGTGCGGCAACACAGAGGGCAAGTGTGCCAGTTCGGACAGCAGCGACTCCGGCTCTGCTAGCACCTCTAGCACCTCTAGCACTGGTGGCTCGGGAATGTCGCTCGCTGTGGCGGGTGTCATCGGTGCTATGGTTACCCTGGCAGTGATTCTTGGTCTGCAGGCTGTCTTCTTCCTGCTTGGTGGATTCCGCATTGCAAAGCGGAACAAGGCTAGCCCTGAAATCATGGGCTCACCTGCCGGTGTGGAGGCGGAGAAAAAGGTCTAGGTTGTTGGTTTTTCCGAATGAATCAGACAACTGTGACTTGCTCGGTAGGATTCGCAATGCGTAATGAATCTATGAAATGCAGTAATAACTTGAATCTGATTTTGGAATTATACATTAGCATCTTGTATGTAGCTGACATCGGAATATTCCGTGCATCCTATCTGATCCAATTTACTCAATTTGCAGATCAAACCCCTACCCAAACCAAGCATCATATCTTCAATAACAACTCTCTTCCTTGAAACCATCACATCCATTATCAAGCGTGACCATCCCGGATATTCACCGCCTTGAGACAACTCCAACTCTCCCCAACTCATCTCCTCTCTTCTCTTCTCTTGTCAACCCCAGAATGCCTCGCCAACAAATCAATTTAGAACCCTACCGGGAAGAGATCATTGCTCTCTTCCACCACGGAATCAGTAGCGACTCCATTAGCCGCGCCCTCGAAAATTGTCATAATATCCAGGTCAAGGAGCGAACCATCCAGTCCCGCCTTCGCAAGTGGGGCGTCCGCAAGCGACACCGAACGACGACAGGCGACGAAGCTTTGCATGCGCGCATCAAGATGCTTTTCATGCAGGATAGGCTGACTGATAAGGCTATGCTCAACATGTTGCAGCAAGAAGGTTACGGTATCTCTGAACGCACATTGCGCCGTCTGCGGTGTAAGTTAGGACTCCATGCCAGGGGTTCGGAGCCGGAGCACCAGGAGCAGATGCAGATGCAGAAGCAAATGATTGTTCCACACACTCGCGCAGATGGACAACTGGTGTGAACCTGACTTGCTGAACTGGAGCAAGGTTGCTCGGTGGTGATCTTCCGCTGGACTCCATCAAGCAGTACCCATGCGACACACATCATGAAGATGATCAGTAATCTCACCCTACGCGACAACACCGGACTACTCCCATGCGACACACCTGCGACAGTTCACGTCTCGATTGTTATCAACGCTCCGGCAGTAATGATCTCAAGCCTCCGTTTGCTTGTATCGTGTCCAGCCGACATGTGCTTAGAAGGTTGACCTGGCAGTGGCTTGAGTCTCGACTTTGCAACAGAAAAAATGTTTGTCAAGGCCAAATATCTCCCCGCAAAGCAAGATCTCACACGATTCGGGTAACCTATAGAGTTGATCTTCCTCGAACCAGTCAAGCACCTACCAGCATCCACTGCCACCAAACGTCAAGCCTGGTAAAAATGCTCAGCATCTGTTCAACATACAGAAAGTCTCTGAGCTCCCACCGCTATCGATTATTCCCAAATGCGACAAAAGTTTCATGCCCAACGCACTACCTCCCATCTCATGTTACTTGGCAAGTCACAAGCATTGCGAGAAATCCAAAAATGGGAAAATTTTTGTCATGTAGTGTTGAATACAAAAGAAACGATGTTCATTAATTTTTTCTATCTAATTTCATCTTCTAAACAATGTCCTTGGACACCAAGTAGATAAGGGCTGGATCTATGTCACGTGACATGACGTTCCCTTCGAGCTTTTGATCGGAGAAACCAACCCATAGAATCGCAACAGTCAAGAGGGGTGTCCATATCCCCGAACGCACTCCAAATCCTCGCTCTACCCCCACCTGTGGCACGCGCCGTAATCCGGTAGCTTACTTGCCCATTATGTCCTCTCAATACACCAGCGAGCCCAACCCCACTGCGTCGGCCACGCTCAACACGACGGTTGGCCCCATCCAGATCGCGCTCTTTGCAAGCCAGGCCCCTCTCACCTGCAAGAACTTCCTCCAACATTGCAAGGACAATTACTATGCTGGCACAATCTTCCATCGAGTGGCCCCCGATTTTGTGATCCAGGGCGGTGATCCCACCGGCACTGGCTCCGGCGGAACCTCTATCTATGAATACCCAGAATTCGAATTCGACCCTGAAGCTCGAGATCCAGAAGAGCGGGTGGTTCTACGCGATGAGCTGCACAGTCGGTTACGTTTCAATCGACGTGGCTTGCTAGGAATGGCCAAGAGCGAGGACGGGACATACGGCAGTCAATTTTTCATCACGCTAGCGAACACGGAGCGTGAGATGAATGGACAATGTACAATTTTTGGGAGACTAGAAGGAGACAGCATCTACAATGTGTTGAAGATCGCAGACGCGGAGCGCATTGCGGGCACCGAGCGTCCTGTTTATCCGGTCAAGGTGACATCCTGCGAGGTTGGAGAACTTGGGCCATTGGAGGGCAAGTTAAAGGACAGAGAGACAGTCTCAACAACCGAGAAGGCAGGAAAGGGCGCACCCAAGAAAAAGAAGAAGGCGCCGAAAGGCGGGAAGACGCTTCTGAGCTTTGGAGACGATGGAGACGAAGAAATCCCTATGCGCCCAGCGAAGCCGAAATTCAATACCAATTTGGTCGTCGATGCGCCAGGTGCAAAGGCCGAAATATCAAAACCCAAACCCCGAGCCGAAGCCCCATCACAACCGCGCAAACGGCCCCGGTCGCCATCTCTAGATCGATCACCGTCTACAGAGCGTAAGAAGCGCCCCAAAACACCAGACCCAGAAACACAACTCCCCCTGCCTGACCCTGAGTCGCCTGTTCGGTCTCCGACCCCAGATGCCCAACCTGCAAAGGAGTCCAAACTGTCGCGGACAAATGCTCAGATTGCCGCTCTGATGGCATCCATGCGCCGCGACGTCGATGTCGGTCCTAAGGACACAGGCCGAAAGAAATCCGCACTCGAAGCCATGATCCCCGAGACCTCGATCCGAGGACGGAAACGGCCACCTCCAGGGTCTGCAAATGGCTCCAGTCGCAACGGGACAGGGCCTAGTAGCGCCGCTGAGCGAGAAGCACTACAGCTTTTCAATGCATTCAAAGCCAAGCTCGAAGGCGCTAAACCCGAACCAACTACCACAACATCACATGGCAAAAGTCACACGGACAAAGACACCGAAAATCAAAACGAAGACGAAGAAGACGAAGAAGCCCAACTCTGCGATCTACATTTCATTGCAAACTGCCAATCCTGCCAAGCATGGGATGACCCCAAGGCAGAAGCGGACGACTCCGAACAGCAAGAGGGAGGTTGGCTCTCGCACGAACTCCGGTTTGGAAAAGATACCCTAGGCAAAGACTTGAACTGGAAGCGCGAACACGGAGGCGAGGCAGACTCACTGATGGTAATTGATCCTCGTGAGCGCGAGAAAGAGGTGGTTGGACGAAAGAAGGGATTTCAGCGTGACCGAGAGCGCGAGCGTAAACGGGAGCGAGTGGGTGATTTGGAATGGGATAAGGGGCGCTAAGTTCTTTCCTAATGAATATCAATTCTTTCCCTGTCAAATATTTTTGACTTTGTATATTCTGGCATCTTACTTGTCGGATATTTTTAGCTAGCCGCTACAACCATACGTGCCCTGTGGGTAAGCGCGCCGGTGTTTTAAAAAGGCAGTTTTAGGAAACCCACATCTCTAGAGACCCCTAGGATTGGTTATTATGTTCGTCTCGTTCTTTTGTGTCAGCCTTATTGCATGATATCCCGTATGATTTTGGTCAATGAAGTTGATGTGATAATCAAAGAAGCGAATATCCCCTAGATAGTATAGAACCAGCCTGTATTGGTGATGATATTGCGGCGGGCAAAGTTCTGACCTTTGCCATTCTTCTCGAGTACGAGATTTCCATCTCCGGGGTGAAAGGTGGCCACGGATCTCCGTCCTCCTCGCGAAATACATGCTCTTGGTTTCTGCGTAGACCCAAACTCAATCTCCAGTTAACTGCCTCGTGCAATTCCTCCATGATCGAAGCGATCATAGGGTAACGAAGAGGGTCTTCATCTTTGGGGTCTGGTATATCCCCTAGCTTCCAGTCTGGCCGAAAGAAGTACTCCGTTTCGTATCCCATCAGCTCATAACGATCGGCAAGGTGGAGCTCATAGAGCCGGTAGATGGATCGCAGGGGCGTGTCTCGCACGCGCCAGATCGGAATGCAGCGAAGATTATGTATAGCACCGAAATGAGATCGAATTATACCCATTTCATTTTTTGCATCGTCAATGAGTGCGCGAAAAGAGACCGGACCGGGTATTGGGAAGTACCAGGACGGATAGGGGATGAACATCCGCAAGAATACGAGCATGGGATACTTGTTCTGGTGACTGAGTCGAATGAGGCTACTGAGTATGCGCAGAGGTGACTCCCAGTAGCGAAGCCATGTTCTAAAACGGGCCCAGAGAGAGAACTTTGGCCGGGGGCGACGTGGAGGCATTGTCACCAAGTTGGTGCAGAGTTGGAGATTTGGAGAGTTGGATAACTTGGATAACAGAGGGGCGGTGATGCCTTGGATGCCTTGGATGCCTCAGATGCCTCAGGGCAAACATTTATCACTTACGCCTCCGATCATCCGATGTGACCAGTACATAAGACTATCTACTGAACTGGCACCTAGCTCGCTTGGCTGAAGCGTTGAAATGATATATGGAAGAGTGAGAATTTCATTGTCATGTTCCCCATACATTGGGTTTCAATCAATTTACTCACCCAGCTATCTCCGGGGTTAAGCCTGTATAACTCCTAAAAGGTATCGTGTCTAGCTGGGGGCCCTTTCACCACCAGTAAGACTAACCAGTATTTTACAGTTCTGTTCCCTCGAACAGTCTTTATTCGAGCATTCCGGTGAGAGAATTGCAGATGTTCTGGCCGTGGTGCACCGTTGCTCAGCTCCACTATAGCTCAACATTGATGCCGTGATATCGAACAGCGCCTTTGTCAGGACTAAACAAGCATACCATCAGGTCTATGTTGAGCTGGATATAAGCAAAAAGTTTGGCACATCCCTACGGCCATTAGTGAGATACACTCGGGAATGCCCTCCTTGGTCCCAGGAATCCTCGGCCCCAAGTGTACATACAGCAAGAGGGCTAATCGCCTCAGCCTTGAAGCCCAGTGTTAGCCATTTTTTAACTACCCTTCCTACAAGTCCTCCAGGCATATGTGTAAAGCTCACATACATTTGAGTACGGGCCGTAGATCTCGGATCTCGGGTGATCTGCGGGTAACCGTGGACTCCGGTATCCACTTGTCCCGAGTCTGTTCTTGTTCTGTAGACAAGTGTAGTCATATCCTCAGTAGGCCAGACTCGACAATAGCTAAAATATTCGCTACATATGAAACCCGTTAAGATAAAGCAAAGGTATCTCATTACTTCCATTCATGGATCATCATAGGTTTTTACAGCCCAGTCGAATTTCCCCAGGCACGTGAGTGAACCCCATATAAACATAAAAACGCCTAATTGTACGCCGAGAAGTTTTGTTTTCATCCAAGTCCTAGCCCGTGCTTGTGAATTTGCTCCATCTGGTATTCCTTGCGCCATCAAATCACAGCTTTCTGCGCCGTTTCGTCGCACTGCCACCATCATCCATCGTTTCGCCTGGATGCTCCGTGGTTGCAGGACTAGTGGCTTCACTATCCGTCAATTGCTCAATCACACGCCCGGATTCATCGTAGCCGACGCCGTCGAAGCCATAGTGGTAGGTAGGATCCCCCTGCTCATGGTGAGGGGTTTCGAAGAGATCAGGCTCGGCAGGGATGTGGTCGAAATCGAACAGGTCGTTGGTGTCTCCGTCATCAGCTTGGGTGGTCCCCACAGGATCGTGTGTATTCTGGCCTGTGCCCAAGTGGCTCATTGGATTCTCGGCCTGTTTCTTCATATCGGAACCTGCATCTCCAATGTCGGTGAAGTAGTCATTGTTGAATATTTGGTCAAGATCAAGCGGTAGGGGAGGTACATTGCCATCACCACCCTCGATACCGGGGATGGTACCATTCGGGCTCAGCGGCTGGAGGAGACTAGTCAAGTTCTGGACGGAACGATCTTGCTCGGCTTGCATCTTGACTAGGTTGTCGATTTCTTGTCGTGTGCTGGCTAGCCTGCCCGAGTAGTTGTGCGGCATGGGGGGTGGAGTCGGCGAGATGAGCGCGTTGTTGGGTGATACGCCAGCGTTCGGTTCTGATGAGTTTGTTTCGTTGGCCATGAGTCGAAGCATATCGGCGCGTTGATTTGCCGTGAGGGGAACATTACCACCATGATTTTCAAGAGAGGAGAGCACATTGGGAAACTCAGAGAAGTTGGTTGAGAGCCCATTGCGTGCATTGGAGTTTTGGATTACGGACATAATGTCCCGTTGAGGGGAAGTCTCATCTGCCGGCTGTCCCGGAGAAACGGTTGGAACACTTGGACGGGGGCTATGGTCAAAGACCTCCTCCACATGGCCGTGTTGGTTGGCGCTAGGTTGCCGAGTATGACCACGAGACCGCGTGTCATAGGAGCCACTGCCTGATGGAGAAACTGTGGAGGCCCGAATATACGCATCCGCCGTGGGCGGAGCCTTCAAAAGCAGCGGCTGCTTCTTCATTGTTCTCTGGGAATTCGGGCTAGTCATTGATCCCAACGCATTGGTAAGGTAGTCATCATCAACATCCACAATGTTTCCTTGGTCCTGTGAAATGGCCCCCGCAAAAGAATTTGCAAGGTTTTGGGGTCCACCCTCCCCCTGCAAACTGCGGTTGTATACAGTTGCAAGGAATGTCAGAATGGCATTTATGGAGTTCTCATGGCGAGTGTGTTGCTCTTGGAAGTTGGCTGCCTGGGCATAGAGTTGCTCGTGTTCTTTCCGCAGTCTGGTGATTGTGGTTGAGATGATTGACTGCTGTTGACGAATCGCCTGAAGTTCGCGATATACCCCAGAAAGTTGCTCGCTGGGTACAGAGTTATCCGTGACTAATGACAATTGCTGTGGTCGGGGAGCACGGTTATCACGAGGAGCCGGTGCACGCTCTTCGACATAATCGTCCATCTCGTTATCATCAATATCCTCCGTCTTCACACGGGTTCCGCCCTTGCTAGGTTTGCTCGCATGTCCGCCGCCTCCGGCGTTCTTTGGCTTCTGAATGAGCCATAGGAGATCTGGGTGGCCTCGTTTGAAATAAGGGTTGGCGTATTCACTGGGGCTCTTGTTTTTCCGTTCGCTGGCGCGCATTGAATTATCGGAAAGTCCGACCTTCTTGTGGAAACCGTACATGTTCAGCTGTCGGACGAATGAGGCGTAGTTATTGTGTTTGAAGAGCTCGGGGATCAAGGTTCTGGCAAACTCATCTTCGTCTAGAACGACGAAGGAATTGCCATCGTCGGACCATCGAATCAGTTCCGTATTCTTGGATTCGTCCAAGAAACTGTGGTTCTCAGTTAGCCCTATAATTGATCAAAAACGCAATAATTGTATCATACCTGCTCAATTTCTGTACAAATGGCGGGATTTGCTTTCGCTTTGCCTGTGAATCTCTCTTGGCAGTCAAGGCTCGCCGGTAGAGCTCCTCTAGAGACTCCCCCCATGCACCGCTCTCTCCATTTCCATTATTTCCGCCGTTTTCCACATACGAAGCAGGAGGTTGTTCGTAGCCACGGTTTCGGCTGACCATCTGGTTCGCTTGTCGGCGGGCGAGTTGGTTAGATGCTGTCGCAGCCGGTGCAGATACATCTGGGGGTGGCGCAAAGCCTGCCGGGTTGTAGGAGGGATCGGAGAAGGCGGAGGTATTGATGGCATTAGCGGGGGGTTCTGACCCCATTGTAAGAATTGGTCGTTCGAAAGCTGAGAGCCCGGGTTCGCAGGGGCCGGGAAGTTCGGTACAGGGTTCATCTGAGGATGGACAGGCGGTACTGTTCCCGGCGCAGGTCTCTTGCGGGTCATTCCTTGCGAACTCATTGTGAATAGGCTGGCGCGAAGGCGTTGGATCTTATCGCGGTGGAGTTCGATATAGAATTGTATCTCGATTTCCTTCGATCACTGAATAGGAGGCTGAGTTGAACGCAGGAAATTTGCCTAGGAGACAAAGGAACCAGATGCGAACTCAGTATGCAGGAAGTTGTTCATCCAAGTCGCCTAATTTTGAGTCAAAAAGGCTTTGACCACAGAACCGAGAAAAAATTTGTATGCCACTGATCGCGCGAATCTATCGATATCAACACCGACGTATACACAAGATCACAGGAATCGACAAACAGGCAGATCAAGGACCAGCAGTAATTACTAGGAAGAGGATCAATGGGCGCGTGAATTGTCCAACATCCAGAATAAGGCGGGAGGTTCCAGCAGAAAGTGATTGGGCGGTGAATGATATGCCAAGTATTATAATATAATTTTAAGAGGCACTAACGTTGGGAAGTGGATATCAAATCACACGAATATTTCCCAGATGAATGAAGTCCCCCCCCCCCCATATGCCACTCGGCGGCGAGATCAAGTTGTCTCGCGGGGAGGCGTTTCCTGAGTCAGCAAGGTGGTGACCAGTACTTGGAAGTCCACGGGTACTTCATGTTACCACGTGATCACACGTGCTTATCAAGTATCGGTACAGAGTAAGGATTATAGAGCTACCTAGGTATGTTTTAACTGCAAAATTCACGGCACTGTGGTCCTCTAAACTAGTTGAATTTTGTAACTGCCATTAAGCAGTACACGAGTGTCCTCCAAGCAAAGCACACAGCTTGCTCGGGTTTATATGGAACTAGGTAGATTCCCCTATCATACCCCGAAAGCCCGTAAGAATATGTTGCCATAACTCAGGTTGCTTTTGCGTGAAATGCTCAACCTGTTTAGGAGCAGACAAGTCTTCCTTCATGCGCGACTCATCCTTAGTCCCATTCAGCACCGCCACATCCTCCAAGGCCATAACTAGCGTATAGAATGCAGCAGCTGGAGTTATGTTGACTTGGTGAGCAAGTTGCTGCACTGGCTCAGAGCACACAAGGTCTGGATTCGCTGTCAAAGTCCAAAAGCTCTGGTATATGACCTGATTCTCGCGGCAGAACGCGCGCAAGGGGACATCAAACAGAGTCTCCTCGTAGAATCTGTTCTGTACCACTGATGGCTTCACCGTTGTCTGTGGTGAAGTACACAATTCGCGGAGTATAGGCAATGTACAATTGGAGATACCTAGATTCCGGATGTGACGGGGCACATAAGTCTCAAGGGCATGCCAGGCCTCCAGGGTCTGGGCTAAAGTTGACAGTGGCGAATGGATGATCACGGTGTCAATGTAGGCCTCATCCACGGAGTCCGGGTCAACTTTTGAGCGAAGATTGTACAATGATGATTTGATAGATGCATGGACCTGATCCGTCACTGTCGCTGACGGATCATAGGGCATATTGGCCGGATCCTGTGCTGAGATAGGACTATATTTGGTTTGCACCTAATTATGGTTAGCTGTCAAGTCGCCAAATACAACTAAAAATAGCCAGTGGGCACTCACGTATAAGTCGGCTCGACCGACGATCCCATCGGCAATTGCTCTGCGGATACCATCACCAACGAGATGCTCTTGGTAATGGCGGGGTTGGGCCGCTGTGTCCACACCCCGGAAACCGGCTTTGATTGCATTATAGACTAGATCGGCGCTGCGCTCTTTCTTCCAGGCGGTGCCATAGACGAAAACCGGGATGGTGGAGACACTGCCCTGAGTTGGACGCAGGCAGTACTTTTCCCACATTTTGCCGATATTCCGAGTCATGGAGATGAAGAAATTGGCTTGAAGTGTATAGATCCGAGAAGTAGTTCAGGAGATGTTCCAAATGATGTTATGATTGCGTCCAACCATGGTTGACCCTCTTAGTAAGACAATTTGGGAACCAAATAGTGTCGCACCGGTAGCTCATTTGGTAGAGCATACGATTGCAATTAGCAACCATCGTGAGGTAGCGCGTTCGATCCGCGCCCGGGGCTCGTTTTCCTTTTTTTAGGGCTCCCGACGTCAAAATACTATACCATTACTATGTAGAAACCCTCGGCTGCACCTAGGCACCTATGATCGAATAGGCAAGAAATATTGATTATCAATAGTGTTTGGTCTCTATGCAAGCATTAATTCAAGGACTTAGAGAACACTGAAGCCTGGCGTACACTGTCTATATATAGCAGAATGGTGGACTGCGTGAGCTCGGCTATCGGTAACCCGCATAGGAACTTGATATAGATATAAACTTGATTTGATTCTCGAGCTTGGAGTGTATTCCGTACAGGACTCCTATGGACAAAGAATGTTAAACTATCAAGAATAACGGATATGCACCGATTGGCCCCGCAGCGTGGCTTAGACACTAGACTATAGGATCTCCAAAAATAAGACCCTTGGCGAACGGAAACGAGATGTAGAACTTCGCAGGAACTAAGTACGGAGTAAAGAGCAATTGCTCATAGGTCAAGCTTAGTTCAGAGATAGAGCATAGCCACAGTGCCTGCATATAGAAAAATATACACACCCAACCCAAATGCACGATATTATTAGCAATATCTTATGTATTTCCATTCAGGCTCTTGGCAAGGTCTTGGCTGATCGCATAAACCAGGCAGCTGCTTTCGCACAACCAACATTGGCGGGACTCCGCTGATCGGTGCATCGTTGACAAGGATGCACACACCTTGGGAACTCAGTTCATTTTCTATTGAACCTGATTATGCGTGGGGAATGTCGACAAAGAAGATCATCTCCTACATGTATAGCAGAGTTATCCTAACTTGAACAATATAAATATGTCGTGAATCCCACGATTCATTTCGATCAGAAACAAAAACACAAACACCTCTACAATCATCCCTCAGCATCAATAATCATGCGTACTCAGCAGCTCCTGCCCCTTTGTGGCCTTCTACTTGCCAGTAACATCGCCATCGCATCTAAATTGGACCATGATGATGTCCCCACTCGCTGCTGGCCTGCCTGTAGCGCCGTCGTCGGAATCGCTAAGAGTTGTGATGCCAGGCACGAACGTGATTCAGCTGAGATCCAATGCATTTGCGATTGGGACGCTGCCAAAACTCAGATCCCGCTCTGCTCCGCCTGTATCACCCAGTATCAAACCGACAGGCGCAACAACAACATCACCTATGGAGACCGTGATGACTATGACGATGACAGTGATGACGATGATGATGATAACGGTACGTAAAATGTGATACATCAAGAACAGACAAAATACATAAATCTAACGAATTTATCAGAGGCCCTTGACCTTGTCTACTCTTGTTCGCTTACCACGACTACCTACAACTCTGCCACTGCCACTGCCACTACTGTAACTGGCACATCTACTAGCACTGCCACTTCAAACACAGCCACCACCACAAACTCTGCTAGCACCAGCGGAACCAACAGTCAGGGCTCGACTTCGTCTGGCTCCTCGGGATCCTCTGATTCCACCGGTACCTCGGCGGGCTCTGCGTCCTCTGCCACTCCTACCCCTGATGCAGCAGCGGGTATTTCAGTTCCCGGTGCTGCATCGATGGCAGGTATCATTGGACTGATGGCTTTTGCTTGGCTGTGAGGTTTAACGGTGTCGGATCTTTGTCCAAGAGGAGCGAGTGAAGATATACATGATGGTTTTATGAATATGTTCAATGTTTTCCTACAAATTTGCAGATGATATCGATGATGTGTCCATTTTTGAGATAGTCTATAGTACATGCAATTGACAATTTCGTATTTTTTTTTCTGAAACCCCTCGAGGGAGAGAAAGTATAGATATGGTCGGGTATACTGGGTGAGGAGCTGTCAGTGACTGGCGAGGGTAACCAAAAGATGTGAAGAATATACAGCAACAGAACTAAGAAGCAATCCAATTGAACATTAATGCAAGTCCAGGTATTGATACATCCCAGAAGCTCTATATAAGTTGTATACATACAATCATATCTCGTCCACAGGTGTTCATGCACTAGGTGTTGCATGTACAGGTGTTGCATGCGCAGATGGTGTATGTACAGGCGTTTCATGCGCAGGTGTTTCCTCCACAGGTGTTTCATCATTCGAATCGCCCCAGAAGTCATCACCGAAGAAATCCTCATCTGGCTCCTTATAATCCATGTCATATACATCCTTGTAGCATTGCGCCTTTGCAGGACAACTATTCGCACCCAATGGTTAGCATCGTTTCCCTGGATATTTCTTGTGTTATAACTCACAACACGGGATCCTGCCCGAAAATAATATGCCATATGTATTCAAAGACACGACCACTCGTCTCATCGTCCAACTCCGTCGTCATAAGCCAATGATGATACGACTCGTAGTCACTCCGTGGGCGTTGGAGAACCTGCTCCTTGGTGACAGCGAATTGGGCACAACAAGGCGTAGCAACAATCTCAGGCACGTTTGTGTTGTTAAAGATACGGATCCAAGCACCCGCAAAGGCAAGCTCGGTGGTGCGACCAGCCGTTTGCCGGAATGGCTGGACCTCATCGGGACATCCAGGACTCCAATCGCAGCGCAGGTTGAGATATCCAACTTGTCGGAGGTAGTCGAGTTGCAGTCTTCGAACGGTTAACACATTATCCTGTTCCCAGAATTCGACGTGGCCGCTGTATTGATGAGCGTGGAGAAAGACCATATATTCGGGCAATTTGTCGTAGTTGTCCAGAATATACTGCAGGTAAGCACTGCTTTCTTTGCCTTTGTTTTGTTCGACTGGCAGATCTGCTTCGGGGTCATCGACAAGATAGACTGCGTGTTGCCATCTAGAATTCGAGCCCGGGATCAGCATTTGGCATGGTTTGTTAGTGATTGATATCTGAGGACATACTCTGGCAGCTGATCGTCAAGCCAATCAGTGTTTTCGTACGACATCTTCCCCAGAACAATTACACGGTCCGATTTCGGAGTGATCTTAGGGCGAGCAGGAGCAGTAGACGAAGGTGCCATCTCATCATCATGCTCTACCGGAGCGAGTATTTTGGCATTTTCGAGTAAGCTTTCTGAATCATAGGATTCGGGCGGCGCTGTAGATCTGAAGAATAGCTCTCCCGCCCATTCAGCGCCGGGGACATCGACGGGGATGCGCTTGGGTTCAGAATTATTGGGTACCACAAGACGAGTTGGTCGGGCCGTGGGGGACCATTTCCTCCGGGTTTGGGTATGTGAAGCGGATGTCGTAGTATGGGCGGAGACCAGCTCGATATATGTATCGCCATCTAGGACATAGAGCTCGGGAGTTCGATCACTCCATTGCAAGATAGAATCGAGGTGAAATTTCACCAAAAATATGGTTACAATTAGCGCAATGGCTATGGCCGCTCGCAATGGAGTCCGCATTGTCCAGCATGCGAAGAGTTGAAGATCAGAAAAATCGATCGAAATCGAATATGTAGATCCAAGTCGAAGCGAAAAAAAGCCACTCTAAAGCAATTAGTATCCACTCGCCTTGGCCTTCAGCCCCCGTCAGCCGCGTGGACGAAATGTACGTACATCGTTATATTCTTTGCTTTTTTTTTCTACAATATTGTAGACAATTGGTTCACACTGGGTTCCTGACTTGATATATATGTATCCTCCTGACTCTTGACCTTTGTATCTCAAGTGGAATAATCATCAGCCTCTGTTCATGTCTCAATCCGGCGATTGCAACCTCCATGTGGGTCTAACAGTCGTCACCTATTCGTGTTGAATACCACTTTCCATGAAACTGTCGATCTCCTTCGGAATGATTTGAGCAAAGATATCTAGTATGTTGCACCAATATGAAGAGGTGAAAAGCTGCATATATATACAAAATGCATGACCTGAAGCAGAGTTAAGGACATAATTGCTGTAACTAGTTTAAAATGTAACGTTTCAAACGGGTACGACGGGTCAAACGTTGAACATTACCACTTACAACATCCATGATATATTTGAATCAGTCCCTATCCATGGATGTACGATTTGCGATCTACAAATGTACGTCAGATTCCGATATTGGCCTGATTTATCAGGCCTCCAGTCCAATTGGTTGGAACTAGTTAACTAACTAGTTAACGGCCTGTCGTTTCATGTCTCTTACCTACGCCTTATCTCAGGTTTAGAAAATGACTCGTATGGACACAGACTTGACTCAGTTTGATCACAAATGGGTTTATTGGTTAAAAATATGTCTCATTTCCCAGCGACTGAGCATCAATATCACCCGTGGCATCTAGTTAAATTACTACTCTTGTCTCTGCCTCGCGTAACAGACCCTGGTATCTCGGAGACATTCTTTTTTTCTTTCCTTTTTTTTTTGTAGTGAGATTCTAGGGCGGTCCTATACGAGTTGCAATTCAACTATGGCTAGTCTCTGCCTTCCTATTCTTGGGCTTTTTGCTTTTTGATCCAATCGGACCCTTCATTCCAGTGTAGACATGGATTTGTCTGTTCCCCTCGTCCCAAGGGCTGCTACCCTTCAAGGTCTTTTTACAGAGTACTCTTTGAGTCAAGGAGTTGCCTTGTAAACAACTTTTTTCTGAAACATCATGGATGTCATTACGACCCGACCCGGCCCTCTGTAGATCAATCCACTAGTGACCATGTTTTCTTTTTCCTTGGGGTTTTGGTCGCAAACACTTAACGGGTTATGTAGGTTAGGTGGAGAGCAAGATCGAAAGTGCGTCATGTGCAATATATAATCCTTCTGGTCGCCCTTTACGGAGTACTGAGACATCTCCTACTCATACCTATTACGGGAACAGCCAAAGCGAATCAGATCCCAGAGCACAAGGCTCGACTTCTCTAGCGTTGGAACCTAGCGACTATACTCGGAGAACGGAGGAGTCTCTCCCGAGGGCGATTGTCCGGAGTAGTCACCACGAGCCGGAGCTCCAGAGATCCACCAGGCCGGGATCTGACACCAAATACCTTCTAACCACCGTCTAGCGGGTTCTAGCTGGACCACAGGAACCTCTGAGGAGCTTCGGTGCATACGCTAGAAACGGGGGATGCGCGGGTCGTGGAGACAAAAGGTCCAATTTCATGGAAGTGGGACTGGGGCAATATAACTTTCACATATCGTCAATTTAGCTGTAAAAGCCGATGGGGAAACAACGTGGCCTATCCGGCTGGGCCGAACCTTTCAGGAAATTTCCAAGGCTATTAAAAATAACTCTTATAAGGTGGCGACTCACGAACTCACCATGAAGGATGGGGCGAAGTGAAATAGGGGGGGGGGGCACTAACTTCAGGAGTAAATAAGTAATTATAGAAAATCTTTCCCCCCCCCCCCCTGAAGATGGACAGTAATTAAAATGAAGCGGAGTCCATGATAAATACCTATGCATGTCTAAACCGGTGGTGTGTCAAATATAGAGAATCACATACAGTGTATGTTGTAGTGCAGGACCCCTTGCTAAGCACGAGGCAGGGTGCGAACCCCGACTTTCTATACGTCAGGCAACCCTCGTGCGCACCCTCCACGCCGAATAATGGAAATGAACGTATTTCCCCAAATTTGTTCAGGGATGAGAAGCTATAAGTAGTGTCCACCACGGCGGGGTCCTCTAAATTGCCTAGTGAGGAGCCTAACGAGGCACCGGCGTCTTGGTAAAAGGCTAAGCCATCAAGAACTAGAATAGGGAGCTGTTCACTCTCTGATTTTCCTCAGGGGGATCGTCCCAAATTCCAGGGGAAATAGTAGAGGATAAGGAACGGGGGGACGTATACGTACAATATATGATATGTAGATGTGAAAGTTCAAGGGGAAGATTATAACCCAAATTTAAAGCATTAGGGAATTCTTTTTTATATATACCATCTTTACACTCTACATTCTGTCATGCAGCCAAATATTAAATAGGATAATCTCATTGGGTATTATGAGTCCACCAGTGTGTCCAGGGGGGTATTAGACTAGAAGTACTATAAATGTTATAAATGCTATAAAATGTTATATGCTATAAATGCTATAAAGGTTACTATAAGTATGACATTTGGTCTCCTTTTCACCTAATTTTTTTCCCCTTTACTTTAAAAATACATATATATCAACCTTTCTGCCTGAGGACTCGATATCTTCTCTTCTCTGTCTTCTCTATCACCTCCTTACTCCCTTTCTTGGCGGATTCACTGAATTCTGTTTCTGTGATTTTATCTTGAGATCTGTCAACTCTTTTCAGGTTTCATCTTTCCTTATATTGGGAGGGAAATCCCCCGGCCACCAAAAAAAAACCTCCAAAAAGGAAAAGAAGAGAAAAGCAAGAGCAAAAAGCCCCCTTGAATGAAACGAATTTAAATTCGTGATATTTTCGAGATATTTTGGCCCTTTTCTGCTTTTTTTTTTTTTTTCTTATTTTTTTTTTGTTCTCCGCCCAGAATCTCCCTCCGATCGGCTTTTAGTCCAAAGTTTTCCCTTTCCCCCAAAACATCCGCACAATCCCGTCCCTCGACGGTTTCTTTTATCAACTTCTGTCGCTCTCATGGTGGAGTAGTGACTGTTATCTCTTTTTTAAAAACTGGTTTGGATTTTCAGATGAGTTATCAAGACATGTATCACGATCATTCTGCGCGTTCCCCTGGGTCTCAGAGGCATCAACAACCCCTACACCGTCAACCTTCTCGACAGTTCGATGCATATGGTCCTATGCCCACCAACATGTACGAACAAGATCAGATGCGTTATGAGTCCGCTCGCCTCGAACGCTTGAACCCGTCATTGCAGAACAACTACGGGTATGATATCTCCGGATCGCAGACTTGGAATCCCAACGGTTTTGCCAATGCACAAACTCTCGGAGGAATTCGTTCGGCTTCCGCTAGTTTGAAGCCTAATGCCCGTGGACGTGCTGGCCTCCCCACGGTATGTGTCTGATGCGATCCCCCTATCTTCCCCGAGGGTAAAGAAAAAGGATAAAAAAAATACTAACAGCCATCTCAAGACATGGTTGGATCAGCAACCAAACATGCCCCAAGCATTTTCGAACCTGGGTCCTGGTCCCATTCAGAGCAGCGCTATGCGACCGGAAGCCTCGGCCTCGTCTGCCGACGACGACGAATTGATCCCAACCGCGATTGTCATCAAAAATATCCCCTTTGCCGTGAAGAAGGAGCAGCTGGTGCAGTTGATGACGGAACTCAACCTTCCCCTGCCCTACGCCTTCAACTATCACTTTGACAATGGTGTCTTCCGTGGTCTGGCTTTTGCCAACTTCACCTCCGCCGAGGAGACAGCAACCGTGATCGAGGTGCTCAACCACTTTGAGCTACAGGGTCGGAAACTGCGAGTCGAGTACAAGAAGATGCTCCCCCTGCAGGAGCGGGAACGGATCGAGCGTGAGAAGCGAGAACGTCGTGGTCAGCTGGAAGAACAGCACCGCCCGATGGGAGGCGGTCCTCAACTCCAGACGCAGAGCTCCATGTCTTCCCTCACCTCGCACATCCCGGCAACCTCCCCGTCGCCCGTGTCCCAGCGTGGACAAAAGATTGGTGGGTTACACACTTGGAATTTTGAAGGTTATTGAAAATTTGACCTGCCGCTAACAGATTTTTCCCCCTGTATAGATGTGGACTTGAACGACACCCAGACCCTTTCCTATTATTCCCAACTACTCCTATTCAAGGAAGATACTGTTCGCGATTCCGTGATCTTCCCCCACAACCTCACTCCCTCCCAGCGTCGTACAGTTCACACCCTGGCCCACAACATGGGCTTGGGCCATGCTTCACGTGGCAGCGGCGAACAGCGCCAGGTGCAAGTCTTCAAGATTGCCGCAGGTGCCAATGTTAGCCCCCCGACCTCTTCTATCCCGCCATCTGGTCAGTCGGACAGTGGTCGTCGTGGCCTTAACCGGGCGGCAACCATCGACTTCAGCGAGGCTCGCCAAGAGGCTGGGCCTGGCGCTTTCAACACGTTGCGTGGACAAAACTCGGGCTTTTTGGGCGTGATGGACTCTCCTGGCAACTTCTCCAACGGCCAGAACCTACGGGCTGCCAAGTCTTTTGCCGACCTGCGATCGTACACCCCTTCGCCCGTGCCTTCCTCGGCTAGCTTCCCGGCCGCGTTGCAGTCCAATGGCGCCCGCCTCCAGTATGAGGGTGCGCCCACTGGAACTTCCAACACCCCGACCCTCACCCCTGCCCAGTCTGGTTCTTCCCTAGGCATGCAGCGTGATGACCTGCTGGTCAACAGCCTGGGTGGTCTTTCCCTTGGCACCGGTATTGGTGGGCCTAACTCGAGCCCCCGTCGCCTGCGAGGCATGTTCTCCTGGGAACAGGATAACCAACAATCTAACGCTGGCGCTATTGGTAGCAACCGTGGCATGGGTATGGGATATGACAACCAGCAGGAGCGCATGCCCGTTCGCCAACCCCGTGGCCCGACCCCCGACAAGGGCACCGGATTTCGCCGCCAGAATGGCCACCAAGCCCGCGGAAGCGATGAGCTCCGTACCAACTCCGGAGTAGAGATCATCGTGGAGTAGAACATTGGACGAATTTATGGCGACTTCCCCTTTTTATTGCCAGCATCCGACTGATTTGCCGCGACACGAATACGACTTGTATTACGAGGCCCTGTTCTGCGAATTACCGGCTTACGATTCGATGAGGGATGACGAGATGACAACAACAACAAAAAAAAAAAGACCAGAAAATCCTTTTTCACTGATCTAGCCAAGTTTTAGACGTTTCTTTTTTTTGGGGCAGCCCAACACGCGGTTTGGATGAATGCTTTTGAACTTTTCCCCCCGACTCACAGTTTCAAGAAGACTCTGGACTTGCTTTGGACGTGATATTTTTTATTATTTTTCCCACTTTCTGATATTGCGGGCGCCTTGCATGCAAATCTATGGATTTCTATGCTGTGTCGGAACGAACTCCACGACCCCGAACACCTTTGGTGACATGGGACGCATACGAAGAATGACACAAAACCTTTTGCCCATGGCAGAAGAAACGACAATACCAGCATTTTGCATATTCTTGTCTGTTTAGTTTGTACATGGGGTGACTCGCATCCGTTTTAATGTTTCTGGCCCGTCTTATGCCAAACCGATTTCCCCTGGAAATTTATGTTCGGTTCAGGCTATGATGGTTGTGACATGTTTCTTCTTTTTCTCTACTTTTTTTCATTGCCTTCTTTTCCGCGTGCTTTGACTGCTTTGACCTGACGTTGTCTCGCGGAATGGTGTGAATTCACTATATTCTGCTGCCTTCGATTGTGCCGATTCTACAAATCTACCTGGCGTGAATGCATCTGCATTCCTCAGTGTTGTTGATATATTTCCCAACTCCCATCCTGGAGGGTTCTATTCCTCTTCATGTTTGGTATCTTGCAGTCCAGGGATTCTTTTTTTCTTTCATCGCCTTTGCCTTTGTACTCAGATTCTCACAGTTCAATCCATGTACCTTCTACCTTACTTTATTTTTTCCATCCCAGTAGGTCAGTTGAGATAGCTGTAAATAGTTTGATAATAGAATCTCTACTTCGTACCCTTAACCTTCCCACCACGTAGGGGAATTTTAATAATAAAAACAAACCTCATTTCCCGAGGTCAGGGATAAATCCAAAGAGATGCCAAGAATGACGCGGTGCCATCGCGTTGTTTATCTCTCGGAGTTATGCATGTTGGTCCCTGTCGATCCCCCGTGGAGCTAAGATCCAGATTTTATATTCCAGGTCTTTATAGAGAGTAGACAGAAATGTTTGACCCCTCGGGTATGTGGGAAAAATTGGTCCGATCACGGAAGCGTCGGTCCCGGGATTTTACACTGTGGAAGTTTACAAATATAATTACTAGTAAATGGTAAAGCACATCGAATCAGTAAAATTCCCACTACCAGGATATCCCCATTTTCCCATTACAGCGCCCTATGAACTCGAAATGAAAAGAAACACGATTGAAAGCAAAGACCGGGGAATATCAGAAAAAAAAATACAAAGTAGAGCGCCGTGAAGAACAAAGACGAGAGGACTGAAAAAGAGCGGCCGGGATTGATCGTATGTTTAGTCAAGGTGTTGAGGTCCTCCCGCGGTGGCAGCCCATCTTTTCGGAACTTTTCATATGTTGATTTAGAGCTCGATCTTGCCACCCTTCTTCTTTTGCTCGACCTTCAGGAGCAGCGCACGGTTGATGCGGGGAAGGACACCACCGAAGGCGATGGTTGCGCGGATGAGGGTGTCCAATTCTTCATCACCACGGATGGCGAGCTGGAGGTGGCGAGGTGTGATACGCTTGACCTTGAGATCCTTGGCGGCGTTACCTGCCAGTTCGAGAACTTCGGCAGTAAGGTACTCAAGAACAGCGGTCACGTAGACGGCAGCTAAAGGAGAAAAGAGTTAGCGACGGGTCGTTTGCGAGATCAGTCCAAGGGGGATATCATACCCTTAGCACCGACACGCATCTTGTTCTGAGTGTTGTTCTTCAAGAAACGCTTGACACGACCACAGGGGAACTAGAGAGTGAATTTGTGTTAGCAGTCGCGTCACCTTAAACAGCTGGCGATGGGAGGAAAACACGGTCGCGAGAGAGGATATGCGATGACATGGTATGAGTTCAATAGATATCGAAAGAAACTACCCCTTATCGAGCAGCAACGAGGGACCAAATCGACGCGTCTTCGAGGGGCAGTTTCATCGAGTAACTCATCGCCCGTATCGCATTACCACTCTCGGACGACACGTTTCCTATTCCAGCAATTAAACAAGTCATGATCCCACTAACCTGCAGACCAGCCTTTGCGCTGTGAGACTTTTGGGCCTTCCCCGCAGCATCACCCTTTCCGCCCTTTCCACCGATAGACTTTCCCTTTCCGCCAGGCATTGCGAAATAAATGTGCGAAGACGGTCGCAGAGGTAGATATAGCAGATAGAAACAAAAACCAAGACGATTTGGCAGTGGTGTGGATGTGTAAGCGATTCAGAAGTGCGGAAGATACGCGCGTTGTTGATGGATGGAGAAGTCAGAATGTGCCAGCGCCGGGTGTGCCAAAAAGACACTTGACGCTAGTCCCAAAATGGAACCGTCCTTTCTCACAACGTTGGATTTCTTGCCGGTATATATGGCGCTCTGTAGAGTCAGTTGCATCTAGAAATTAGTTGCTGTAAGGGTTTGATGATTCCTTTGCTATTTCTCAAAAATAGACAGAAGTCATGAGGTTTTGACATGCGAGGAGACCATGATGGAAGCCAGTGTGCCTTCACCCGTTTGAGTGCAATGGGTGGCTCCAGCATCTATGGCTAGGATTCACATATGAAACTTCTGTGGCTGTCATAATCCACATTGTGCAACTTCAAGTCAGAATGGAAGATCACTAATGTGGTGGTTGCTGACGTTTTGCAAAATAAGCTGGTCTGGTTTGAAGCTGGACCAACACAGTTATGTAGCTACCAGCGGGGAAGGTCACATGATATATTTGCCTTCAACATCAGGCGACAAACTCTAACGCCTCAGGCACCAGATCGCGGATAGATAGCGCCGGGAGAACTGAATTTCCGACTCCCTGACATTCCAGAAATGCCAGGTGGCCCGCGACTTTCTAGTTTTGTTCGCGTTGTACTCCCCCATACTCAACGATTTCTCCATATCGAAAGTATCCGGCAAAATGGTGTCTGCTCAAATGTATGCTTGATGGAACAATCGCTCGATTCTTGATTATCTATATGGAAACTAACAATGGTCGCACAGTACCAACCTCGCCATCATCTTGGTGATGATGCAGCTGTCCAAGAAGGTTCCCTTCGATGATCCTCAGGTCCTGATGTTGGTCCGTGGATGCTATCTCCTGTCCAACGTTCTCATCCTCGCCGTCCACCTGTACACTCAGTATCAGATCAACAAGAAGAAGGGTATGTCGATTCTGATCACGCGCTCCACAACCTCAAAAAAAAAAAAAAAAAAAAACTAATGCGCGATATCTTTAGATATGGCCACCCTCAAGTACGTTGAGCCCGCCGCGATGGGTAGCACCGAGGAGCCCAAGCCCGTGACCACCACCAACATGGACTACGACAAGGCTCAGCTGCGCCAGCTGCTCCGCAGCCAGCTCATGGGTGTCGGCATGATGGGTGTGATGCACTTGTACTTCCAGTACACCAACCCTCTCCTTATCCAGTCCATCATCCCCCTCAAGGGTGCCTTCGAGTCCAACCTGGCCAAGATTCACGTTTTCGGCAAGCCTGCTACTGGTGATCTCGCCCGCCCCTTCAAGGCCGCCGGTGGCTTCATGTCCCAAGGTGGACCCAAGAGCGATAAGGCCTCCATTGAGGCCGCTGAGAAGAACTGGCGCGGTGGTGTCAAGGAGGAATAAATGCGTACCCTTGGTTGCTCTAGGCCATCAATTGACTTCCCCCTATGGGTATTCGGTGGTTTGAATCATAGCACTCTTTGTTCATTTCTCCCCATTGTACCATAATCCATAATTCATCCTATACAGTCTGAACTCCCCTTCTTTTCTGGGTAGGGCTCTAGACTATATTGTTAATCTTGATTCTGGTCATGCCATCCTGTATTGTACGATCTAAATCCTGTTCAAAAGGACGGAGATTGCGCCACTGCGCCATTCTATGCCAATATGGCCTGATAAAAGTCTCACCGTTATCATGACAGGGATCTATCCATGGATGTTATTTAAGGTCAAAGAGGATAATCTCCAAATCTTGGGGACCCCAGTAGTTAAAAACCGTCCAAGCTCAAATATAAAACCAAATAATAAAAAATTTGTCTGATCCCGTGGCCCCATGTTACCGGTGACTCCTTTTGAGGGAGGAGCCACCAAGCTATAATCACCATACTCGATCCGTCCACCGAGGGATTTGATGGCTATAAGTGGAATGAAAATGAATTTAATACTAATTCCAGTCTAACTGGATTGCCTGTACGCTATGTACTCCGTACTATGCTACCTATTTTTGCCCCTCAGTCATAGCATCATCCGTTGCCCCTCCAAAACGTCGTCATAGCTTTACCACCTCGGGAATCTCGATTTTGTACCTAATATTATCGTGATCATCTTCCTTGTAGCCGAGTAGGCTCCGATTAGGCAAAATATTCAAGAGAAAAGCTCCGAAAAGAAGTCAAGAACCCGAAGAGTAGTTGAATTGCTGCAATCCTATTGGTAGACGGGAGCTACCGAGGGGCAGCGCAGGGCCCCAATATCGTGACTCTTCCTGCTTTGCCCGGTGTATGAAACCGGAAATCCGTTGCTGGGCAGAGACCAGCGGCAACACTCGGGAAATCTAGTTCTGTCCGATCTGCCTAGAGGGGAAGCTGTGAGAGTCCAAAAGTCCCCGTCCGTCTGTTCGGTGAGGGGGGTGATCTGTCCATTGCGTCAGTCCATATTAATCCCCCTCCCCCATACCTTTTTTTTCCTTCTCTTCTTTCTTTTCCATCCATCTTCCTCCCTTTCTTCAATTACTTCACACTATTACAGTAAGTTTCTCAATCTTCTATTCCAACAGAGCTAACAGCTTCTAGTAAACCGC